CCTGTACCAGGAGATTTCAGAGCAGTTTGCAAAAGAGGTCGGTATCACTGAAAAAAATCCCTTTGATCTTTTTGGCTCACCCCTTACATTACTTGCCCCACACAATGATTAACATTTCCCTAAGTACATTTTCTATGGCCACTAAAAAGAAAAAGACAAGCCTTACCAGTAGAAGAAGTCACTTATTTAAAATGCAATTATTTTTTTTCTACTGACTGTAGTTGTTTTCTCTTTACCTGGTGGTTAACTCTTCAGTTGTCAAATTGATACATGTCTGATAAACATACATGAAATCTTAAGTTCAGAAGTGGTTACCTTTATTTTTGTAGAACCGGCAGAGCTCAGGTGATGAACAGTGCCATGGCCCTATTTAAATATGAACTTGCCGTTCTTAGTAGTGTGCTAGTCAGTACTCATCTGGATGGGGCCAGAGGATTGAAACTTTACATCCAACATCAGCACCTGAATATTCTTTATGTTGGCCCAGTGATTTTGCATGACATGCAACAAATAAGTAGTAATGCTCACCATCATGTGGTCTACAAAAACAGTACATTTCAGATCAGGGTAATAAAGGAACCCAGTGACAATTTTATATGGATCATTTGTGTTGCTGCTCATCAGCTTAGTTACTGATGCTTCACCTCTAATTGGTGTCACAACCTGCAACCACTGGAGGAAGGGAGGAAAGGATACATTTTGTCCTGAAGCTGTTAAAATGAGAGAAACTCATGCCAAGGATTAATAATTTGGTTACTGTCAAAGACAACACAATGCCTTAGTAGCACTAGGGGTTGAATAAATGACCTTCTGAGTTCCTTTGCAGCCCTACTTTTCTATGTTGTCTTAGTGCCACTGAAAAATAGGTAGCCACATACAACACCAAAATAGCCAGGATGCTCTTTGATACAAGCACCTTGTGAGTTTATTTCACAATACATTATAAATATTTCTTAAGTACTATGGCCAAACAATGTACCCACCTTTAAAATATTGCTGCATGTTTTTTGTATGTGAGAAGGACTGAAAATGCCCTTTGTTTCCTAGCATGATATTTGTGGGTTGTTTTAGGTTGTATTTTCTGACAAAATATCAGAGTATGACACCTCACTGATGACTGTCTTGAAAGCAATGATGAGTAACTTACAATTTCTATTCAAACAGTTTTCCTGTATGAGCCATAATAATTTAATTTTTCAGGAAAACAAGTTTTGCTAGGAAATATTAATGTTGAAGTTGAAGGTTATACTCTTTATTTGCAATACATAAAATTTTATTCAATAATAAATCCTTATTAATATTACCATCCACAAGTTTCCAGAATCACATCTGTTAGGTTGTAATGGTAATATGAAAAGTTTGTTTCCAACTTCTGTTCACACACATTCATAGACTCAGATGCAGGAAATGGCTATTCCTGCTTCTGCTTTTACCATGGCTTTAATTTGTTTTAACCCATCCTCTTGTACATCAAACTTGAGGCATTGCACAAACACAGTAATTGGGTTTTTTTTTTCTCAAAGCTATTGGTGATCTTATTCAGTGTGTTTTCCTGTAAGCAAATGTTTCTTTCCAGTATGCAGGGAGGCTGCAGGGGGGCAGGGGAGCAGGGAAGAACCCTAAATATTGTCTTCCATAAAACTGAGTTACAAGAGTTAAACTAAATTTAAAAAAACCTCCTAAGATTCTGTAATACAGAAAGCCTCCAAATTATAATTGTGATTTATTCTAGCTAGCAGGGTTTTTTTTTAAATTAGGTATGAACTTTTACAAAACAAAGAGGAACAGCATGGGGTCAATATACTAACAGAGTTTAACTGCAGCCTTGTTTATTCCATACAAACAGAGTTCCAAGGAATTCTATAACCACTTTGCACAGCACTGTATTGGCATAGGCTGTCCTAAAACAGTGCAGCCAGTGCATGGAAATAGAACTCAGCATAAGAAGGACCCTTGGGGTATACATATGTAGGAGTGTTTCATCATTCACAGGCACTATTTATTTGTCGTTATGCCAGGAAAAAAGGGGCAATGGCTTAGATGCCCAGCACTGCACTGTTCCTGCTATTTTAATCTCTTGGGGCTCCTACCAGCCACCTGCACTCAGAACAGTGCTTCTGCTGCACTAACCCAGTGTAGAGGGTGGCCCTGCAGAAATGGCACTAGTAGCCTTAAATTGCGACTGCGGGTGCTAGTTAATCTAGCTTCTAAGCTGTTCTTTGTGTAGACCTGACCTGAGCAGTTTAGTATTATATTACAATTCAGACTTGTTTACTGAATAGCTGGAATTCGTTACAGGAAAAGTTGTGATAATCAATATAGGGCACATCTACACATGCATATTTACTGCACAGTAATCAGAATTATTGTGCAGTACAAGCGTGCATCTACATGTGCACACCCATACTGCACAGTAAATATGGCAACTTATACTGCCTTGAGCCCAATTAGTTACTGTACAGTAACACATGTGGATGCTTTACTACACAGTAACACTGTGTGTGTGGACCGACTTGGGACTAACATTAGTCCCAAGTCAGTCCACACACAGCATTAATGCACTTTAACGCCTGCATGTGTAGCTGCCAGCCTATTCCTGTTTATTGCGCAGAGTAGAAAAAGAAAATCTTTTTGGATGAAAGTCTCCAAGAATGCTTATGTAAAATCTTTATTTTGCTGTACTGGGGCTAGCTTTCTAAAATGATATCTATGGTTTTGAGGGCCCAGTTTGCAGCACTTAAACTGAGTTCTAATTTAGGGTCTTTCATGGTCTTGAGTTGGGCAATGTAAATGAGATGTCCACAGCACATTTGACAATGCTTTGAGATATCTATCAAGATACTTTTAGAACACACATCCAAAACAAATGTCAATGCTATGGATGCTGTAGAAATCAGGATTAATTTTATATTAAGTGTTAAGATGACCTTTAAAAAATGAGGTCATTTTCCAAATGGCATGTTACTGTAACCTAATAGGAGAAAGTAAGTTTATTTCACCTTGAAACAATGGTCTAAGTAGTGAGTATATATACTCCAAGTTTGAAGATGGTCATCTTATCAATGTGTATCTTACTGAGAAAAAATAACAACTGCAGAGAACTTGCTCTGGGAAAATTAAATACAATGCGTGTTGTATGTGCAGTTGCCGAACACATTCAATAGCAACAGCCAAGCTTCCCTCCCCCCTGTATTCTATATTTAAAATATCACATTTGATCCTGGACTTCCTGCAAAATCCCTTGCTATGGTAAAATATCTTTCAAGTGTTGCCAATAAGTATGTCCCAGGACAGAATTAAGATGCAATACTGAGTGGTTCAAACAGAGGCCAAACACTAAATCATGCAAATGTTTTTAGAACTACTGCACTTTAAATGGCTCACGATACTTCCATTAAGAAATCCTGGTTCCTAGTGTTCTAATACTAGCTGTAGAAAATTGCATTTATTTGGAAAATTCACCCTGCCACTTGAATTAACTTAAAAGAATGTAAAAGAAAAGCAAATTCTCTTGTTATTAATTCATCTTCTGTGGTTTGGTGTGCCACTGTGATTTCTGTGTCAGTGAAGGCCCAGCAGAACAGAAGGAAAAGAACTAGCACTGTGCCCCTTTCTTTTCCGGTACTGAGAAATAAAGATTTCGGCCAGTGACTTCCAAATCTGTCAAATAACCCTGCTTAGCCCTCTGACAGATGCTTTGCATCCCCTTGTACTCTTTCACTTCTGGGACAACATATCTGTCTATGGCAGAAGAAATGCCTTGAATTATTAAAAGTTTACTGGGCCTGACACTTCGAACTAAGGTCAACCATGCAAGCACTTGCTACTAAGTATATTGTTTACTACTACCATGAATAGTCTGACTGAACAGAGTTCCTCTGCCTCTCAAGTCCATTCTTGTCTTGCGTTTAGATTGTAAGAGCTGTGAGTAGGGACAAAAAGAAATTATGTGGGCAATTCCCCTTGCTTTGGGCACACATATCAGTAGGCTTTATTCATAACATTAAACATTAGGGCTGGTAAACATTTGCAGTTTCAACCCCTCACCCTCTATGTGGAGCCAACTCTAATCCCTCTTAGCGGAAGGATCACCACACTAAGGTTTCAGAGCAGACTGAAAATTAAATAATGTTTCTTTGCAGGTTTCAACATAGATGAACACATTTTCACAAATGAACTTTAGTGCAGGTTGTAATAATTTCAGTTTACTTTTTCTGTGCAAACCCAGAGCTATAAAATATGACAATCCATTATGATCTGCTCACTAAACATTCTCCTGGTAGTTTGAGATTTGATACTCATAACCATTCTGAGAATCTTTTGAATCACTGCAGGAAAGTGCCTAAGCAAGTTACACCATTGCTAAGGTGTATACCAACAAAATAATGCCCCAGAATAATTTAACAAGCAATGTTAATTGGAGGAAATTACTATATAATGATCATTTTTAGAAAAAGATAAACTTATTTTCCTTTCTAGAAAATGTTTGGACTTTTGAGAAATTATAATACTGTACTAAACTATAACAACAGAAAAATCCTTGATTATTAAAATAAAAATGTAAAAAGTATGTTAAAAGGCTGTTGTTTATTTACTTGGATAAAAATGGACTTATTTTAAGAATGGCAGACTGTGTAATTTGGGTTAAAAAACATTGTATTAATGAAACCACTTCTTTGTCACTTGGACACTAAAATTAGAGGTTATTTTAAGAATTATTAAATAATTCTGGCTTTTCAGTAATGCTGGGATATAAAAAAAAAGATGTAAACAAAGAAGTAGATATACTATAACTCCTTTACAAACATTGTGGCTTGGATGGAAGTCAGTGCTTGTAAAATGGAAGATGACAAAATCTATAGGAAAAACTTTTATTTGGATTTGTAGAGTGGTATTAGAAAAATGAATTAAAATATAAACACTGTCCTTTTTAAATAATTTAAAAAAATGGAAATACTACATATATATTTTTAAAAATTAAGAAACGGTATTGAACATATAAAAAGAAAGATATTCAGAGGTAAGTCTCAAAGTCCAAGCTGGATTCAACTGAGAACCTGCGGTCTCTGAAATTTCAGAATGCTCTACGAATATTCAGGTATAATAATTAATTCACAGTTACTGCAACCTAGTGATCACTGGGAATATGTGGCATTCAAAGAGTGACCATACAGAACAGCATCCAAACGTGCTAAGCTTTTGCTCTGTATTTTCTAGTTTGCAAAATGTTACTTGAAATAACCAAAGAAAAAATGTGTTTGAATAGGCATGTACAGCTGAGTATGCCTAAAAGCCTGTTCCATCTAACACATTTTTTTATTAGATGCTAGCAGTTGAATCCAGATGACATTTATATTGGTGCATTCACAACAGCAGAATAAAGCCAAAGTTTGGTATTTTGGTGCCTCTGGACAGATCAGCTTATTTTAAAATTAATTGTCTCTGTCTACATATTTATATAGATACTGTACATTCTTTATTTGGCACAAAATAACAAAATGAAGTCTGACTACTTGTATATATTTTTGGTACTTAACTGGAAAAGTGTATTGAATATGCATTATATGATATAGCCATTTAATTGGTGACATAAGGGAATGTGTTTTCGTCGTTAAGCATGGTGTATTGTTGAACTAGATTCCTATTGTGGCTATTGAGTACAGAATATAATTCCATCCCTATTATTTTTCAATTTTTATAGTTAAACTGCACAGAAAATGGCACAGACATATACAGCAAGGACAATCTTCTTCACCAAGAGAAGAGACTAATAACAAACCACTGAAAATGAAGCATTTAGTCTTCACTTCAGAAGGGTGCAAAATTATATCCCAAAGGATAGTACTGCAAGAAAGCAAACATGGATGCACAGTTAAAGTCACTGTTGTCTCATAACTGAGATGCTTCTATCTCCTTAAAGAGCTAAGAGCATGGATGTAGCTGGTTTAAACAAGGTGACAGTAATACTGGAAGTAATTATTACTGTCAGAAATTTTTTATTTATTTCTCCAAGACAAGAGTGCCTTTAACTAAAGCTGATTTTATGCTCCCTCCTCCACTTCTAGCTCTAGCAAAGCTCACAAGTATTGGTCATGTATGGAACTCATGTCACTGAAAGATTTAAAAAAAAAAATGAAAGCCAGTCTATAGAGATCATTTGAAACAAAGTAATAGAAGGGAGGCATTAGGAACAAAGTGGAAGATGTGTCTTCCCTCAAAGGAATCAGTAGATGAGCTCTGAGCCAGTCTGGTCCAAGCACAATCAAAGGGAGCTTTGAACTTGATTTTTCATTTATTCCGAGTTTTGTTAAACATATTGGCTTTTCCTCAACCTGTCAGTTGTCATATTGCTAGCCAGTGTTGAAGCTGAAAGGGAATAGAAGCAATTATTTATTTGATAATACTTTATAGATTTATATGATGGTGGTGTGAGCAACTATGAAGACAGATGGCAGATCCTGAGTTACAGAAAAATTAGAAAATATATGAGAGAACTAGTATTTTCCAGTCTTAGTTTTCACTGAACAACAGCTACTCTGCTATAACAATAATTTAGTTATCTGTCAGTTTTAAAGTGTAGAATAATTGGGCATCAGGAAAAACATAAACTGACTGTACCATATGGGCCAAATGCATAATGCCTTATTAACAAGCTTGAACAAGATGAACATGTCCATTTCGACTATTTATAGTGGATCTTTGGAAATAATGAGTTGATGCAAATGACCCCCAGTGATTGACCAATCATGGCTCCTGTATTTGAACCCGACTCCTGCTTGATTCAAAATGTCTTTCTTCTTTTTAAATAGTTTTACCTTGATCCCAATAATTTTAATAAAATCCTGCTCTGCTGAATACATACTTTTTGCTATTGTATATTTAGTATGATGTTTCAGAAATGCATTTTTTTTCTACGATGGGATCCACGTCTGTAGATAAATATGGAGTACACACAGAAAACCTGAGCCATAATTACTTACTTGGAGAATTAAATATATATCAAGCTCTCTACAAGATCCTGGAAGATTTCTATCTCAAATGCAAGAGTATCTTTATTTAGTATATTTCTTGTTTTTATGTAAAGAAAACACAAAGAGCCAATATTTCACATGATTTTTCAGAAACAACCTACAATCATAACTGTACAAAAGATGCATAATTCCAAGTTACTTTCAACTGAAAAGGGAAACACTGTTGATACTAATGTAGAATGATATTTTTGCATCCTCATTTTTTACAAAAAGGAGTTCATTTCAACATGCAAATTTTCTTTCTGCTAAGGGGAAGGTCTCATTTATAACACATTTCTCATGACTACTTAAATAATATCCATCTAAATCAAGCAATGAGTTCAATCTTGTATAGGTACAGGGAGAAAATTTATTCTCCCTCAGCAGCAGGTCACCTCAGCATGGCCACTTTGCAAGCAAATTTACATCAGAGGGCATCTACCTGCTTGTGTGTGTGTGTGTGTGTGTGTGTGTGTGTGTGTGTGTGTGTGTGTTGTACCTAAAGATAAATGCTTCTAGTCTGAATCTATAATCCCATAGGATTGCTTCTGGGGGTTGTTATGATGTTGTAAGAAAAAGAAAAAGCCTAACAGCCTGGAACCAATCACTGTCAAGATCACAGGAAGTTTAACCGCCTTCTCCCACTAATATAACACATTTTGGGTGAAAAATGAGAGGGCGCCAATGGGCTACAAACAAATTCATAAGGAAAAAAGGTGGAAAAAAGGCAGAAAATATACCACTAAGTAGAGAAGACTACTTCTATTTTCTTTAAGATGTACAAGCTTTTAAAAATGTGTATAGAGTAGGTTACTCTCCAAAGAGTCCCATGCAGGCAAAACTCAGCGTGTTCCATTGCATTTTTAAACTTAATTTTTTTTTTCAGTGCATCAAGGAATTGGTTAGAAGAGAAATAAACTTGGTTTTATTTGGCTGTGAGGCTTGCTAAAGAGCAGGCAGATAGGTAGAGTGAAGGAGTACAAACCTTAAACTGCCTCACATTCCCTTGTGCCACAAGATGGTGTTCATTTTCAGGTGTGATGCAGTAAGCTAGTCTCTAAACAGTAGTGGAGAGAGAGGAAAGAGCATTAGCCACAGTTCATGGATTACACCTGCAGACAACTGAGGTTGTGTCTGTGTTCATGGGGTATCAGTGATGGTTTTATTAGAACAGTGATGTAATTCTTTAATATCACTGAGCTTGGAGAGCACAGATCTTTGACTTGGTCAGTGAGAGACTTAAGCATATGATCAGCCCCTTCATATTAGGCCTAATAACAATAGAAATGACAGAATGTTTAAACAAATATTTATCCCCGTTTTACCAGAAGCACAGAAAAGAGAGCCTCTAAGCTTTTTTGCATCATAGTCCTTGCGGTAGGTTTCAGACCGCTTCGGATCCAGAGAAGATTCAGATGCTGAAGCAGCATGTCCGGATTGAAACACTGGCTTCTTTAGGCTTTCTGAACCACTTTCGGAGCTTCCAAACCACTTTGGAAAAGCTTCGGAGCTGCTTCAGAGATCTGGGCATAGGGTATAATGGGGAACCAATTAAATATCTATAATTGTTGTTTTTTTGTCTGATCTGGATGAAACTTGCAGGGGTGGTAGCCTCTGCTGAGAGCATGAAGCCTGCCAAGCTTCAAGGAGATCGGTGCGAATTTTGCCTGTCAGCAGCTTGAGGTGCAGTTCCCTGCAAACTCCTGCACGTATCTCCTTAAAACTTGGCAGGCTTCATGGCCTCAGCAGGAGTCACCATACCTGCAGTTTTCACCCCCCTGTGACATGAATTTTGCTTTCACAAATTTGGGGTGCAGTTCCTCCCAAACCCTTGCTCCTGTCTTCCTGAAACTTGGCAGGCTTCATGCTCTCAGCAGAGGATACCATTTCTGCAGGTTTCATCCAAATCAGTCAAAAAACAACAACGTTATAGATATTTCATTGATTCCCCATTATACCCTATGGCCAGATCTCCAAAGGGGCTCCAAAGTTTGGAGCCGCTTCGGCCAAATTAAAGCAGGACACTGATCCAGAGCTCCAGATCAGATTGCTGGTATCTGAAGCGGCTGGATCTGAAGCCGAATCGAATAACTGCCTATTCACACAGGCCTACCTTGCAGGAATTCCTGAATACAAAGAATGCTAATCTCTCCCTTTTTTGTTGTTGTTTTAGTCTTACCTAAAAGGGAGAAGAATGGGTATGATGACTCCACTCCTTTACATTTTTCAGCAGGCCAAGACTATTGTGTCATTGGAGGGATACAGAATAATTACTCTGGAATAAACTTCTACCATTTGTGTCCATCTATATCCAGGAGCTCTCACAGGAGCTTTCTCCCCTTACCAAACCAAAGGTCTTAGACCAAGGTGGAGCCGTAGCCAGCCAAGGCTGTTATTTAGTATGATATTCCTGTTATTTTGTTCTGCATATAATTTTGACGCCCCCCCAAATTTTGGTGCCCTAGGTGACCGCCTAGTTTGCCTAATGGTTGGACTGGCCCTGGTCTCAGTGTCTCCTATTAAGTATTTTGGAAATAACTTACCTTTTATCTATATGGCTATATAACATATTTTGGGGAACAATGGACTGAGAGAGGGGGAGTTTCTCAAGAAAGCTTGTTAGGATTCAGTTTTTTGAGACAATCTGAGTTTGACCTGCAGTTTTGTGTCCAACATCATTAAGCTTCTGCAAGCATTGATACTTTGGTACTGCATGAAACTCAAGTGAATGGAACAAACCATAGAGTTTGCAAAAACACCTGCAAAATGCAACCATCAGATTTTGCACAATGGTGATTATATGGAACTGAATTGTATGTAAAAATGGCAGCCCAGAACTTAAGATGTTAACACAAGGGGGCGGCTTAGTCTGGCTCCTGTTTTTTTCTCTGCTTGGTCTGTTCTACAACCTGGTGTGCTTGTGGGGGCAGAGTCAAGACTTTGTACCCTTCCTGCCCCATTTGCATACATTTATGCAAGAGAAAGAGAAGGAGACCAGCAGTGTGTCCTTGTGCTCTGATGCTCTAGATAGCATGAAAAGTATAGATGTGGGCTTCTTTACTCACCTGTGGGCACAAAAGGGCTCTTCATTGCATCTGTGACATCATATCTGTGATATTGTCTTTTTTACTTTTCTCTGCTAATTTTCTAAGAAGCTATTTGAATATATGGTGCTATAAATATGAAATTTATTATAGTTATACAGGAGATATGAAGAGACGATTAACTGCCTAAGTTACAAGACCTGACTCAATCATTTGAGGTTAATGGTAAGTTTTCAGTTTGGCTATAACTGCGGCTCCACTGTGCAATATCTGCCCAGTTCCACACACAGTTGTCAATGGAAGTTGTGTGTGTAGGAAAAATGAACAGTATGCATTTTTAATTGGAGAGAAGATTGTCTGTCATTTACATTCAGTTCCCAGATCTTGTTTTTGTTGACATAGGGATGGCAATGGAATTAATTAAAGCATGATGTTTGCTGAGAAGAAAGGAAAAAAATGTTGCACATTTAATGGTGTATTACTGATTTTTTTGAAACATCATTGGTATCTTTGGATAATTGTCTGAATTTTGATCAACTAAGGGACTTTTGCACACAAATTTGAATCTGCCTATTTGCAACAAATCAGGTGGTACTCCAATGGCAGCTCAGACTGTTGTACCATCCTCATAGTCCAGTGTTTTATAAATTAGAAAGAGATGGTGTGTTATAAGGACATTTAGTAATTTTTAAAAGAATGAAAACACATGTAAAGGTGACTACTTTCTAAGTACTATTTATGGATTTCTTTAGAGTATGGGTAAGAATTTCCAGTGACAGTGAAGAGAAAATTAATATGATCAGTGAATCATAAACCTACATCATTTTGAAACTGTAATTTGAGGAAAGTATATAACAGTGTGATTGTAAAGAAAAATTGGATGTGTTTTTTTCACCATAGAAACCGAGTTCTTTTTAAATAGAATAATAACACATTAGGTTACTGTTACACACAAAAAACCCCCTAAGCCAGTGATGCTATCATCAAGATTGCAAAGTCAAGCACTCATAGTTAGGAGGTGCCAGAATTAAGGTAGCATGTGCAACCTTAAATCAGGATGCTGATACATATGCATTATGACAGCCTTCAATTATATGGTCACAGTCTATAGGCTGGGGATGTGTGCTGCCTGAAGCACCCTTGCTTCAATTGTTGTAGAAGCCAGAAAGCCAGAGGGTAACAGGGAGAGACTGATTTCACAGTTAAAGTAGTCAAATAATACAATGGAGAACTGGATTCTATTCCTGTCCCTGCCAAAGGGTTTAGGTGTGATACTAGGAAGTAATTTAGGCCAAACTTTTTATGGTGACCACTGATTTATATATTCTTCATTTGTAGGTTCCTTACTTGAGGCCAGGGTTGTGATTTACAAAAGTGCTAAGTACTTACACTTTCACCTGATGTCAATAATACTATGCTTTGAACATTTAAAGTAGTGCTGTGCAATGCTAGATACTCAGAAAGATCAAGTCCTGGGTGACTCAAATTTCGCATGAAAGATTTGCAGATACTTTTGAATTTAATCTCTCTGACTGCTTACAGGTGTTGGTGGGGAGGGGTAGGGAGGATGGAAGGGAAGAAACCCAGCACTTTAAACTTGGTGTGCTCCTGCACTAAGCTCAGCACATGGCCAGAAGAGGCAACATGTTAGTTGCACCCAGCTTTCCCAATGTTTGTAGAGATCAGGCACTTTGGTGAGGCTTTTTGGGCACTTTTATCTAATAGCTGATTGAATCAGCTTTAGCCAAAATGCCCTGCTGAAGTGCCCGATGTATATGGATGTTGCAGAGCCAGGTCAAAAGAACACACTGGTGCTTCTGGTAAAGTGCATTTTTTTCCACGTCAGTCAGCACCCTCTGCCTCCTTTTTCCCCATCTGTAAAATTGGTATTATAAAGCCCTTTCATCTCAGAGGGATATTGTCAAAATTCATTTATCTTTGTCAGGCACTCAAATGCGTGATGAAAGTCATAAAAAGGCCCATGAAAAATTATTTGTCTTCAGAGCAGGTTATGAATAGTTCATATAAATAAGTCATAAGGGTGCAGGTTGAAATAACAAGGAGAGAACAAAGGATTGACCAGATGCTCATTAAGTGAGCGTCATCTGTTCTGGGCAACAAATTGAGGCATGGGTCCTGTGGAAAAAAAACAGTATATGTTTCAAGATTATCATAATGCTTATGCTAAAGGAGGTATGACTTGAGGTTCCATAGGTATTTTCTAATTTTTAGTGCCTTGACTTTGCAGTTATAATAACATCCTTTTGAAATGTTTTGGTGTGAAACCCAAGGTTTTAATTTTTGGGGAGTTTTTTAAGTAATCAGTCTGAGAAAACAGAAACTGCTTCCAGTGACATCAAGGATTATCAGCTCCATTTGAAATTTTATTTCTAATACACAGGCCTCTCAATACTCGTGCTATCAGAGGAACTGATAATAGTAAGTTATTATGGATAAGAATGAGAGAAGAGAAGGCACTTTGCAAACGAGATTCCCTGGTACTTGATGACAGCAGAGAAATGATGAGACTCAGGGATTTAAAAATCTTGGAATCCATTGCAGGTTCTGAAGGGAAGCGTGCTCTAGTAAGGACAGATGCTTCTGCCTTCACCCCTACTCCCTGCTTGACCTCTGCATGTTTCTCAAATTTTTCTGTATCCATCTACATGTGAAATAAAAGTGAAGCAATAAACTCTGTAGCAGTTTCAGCTGGAGTCAACTGCTCCTGGGTGCAGCATCTACATGTGCATGGGACAGTAGCACTTCAAGCTGGGGTGGAGCAGCCCCAGGCTGCCAGGGGACACTGGGGAGGGGGTGCGGATCAGCTCTGGGTGGTGGTGTCAGGCAGTGGAGAGGCTGGCTGGGGCATGAGGATCAAGCAGGAATCTGGCCCCTTGTTAGCTAGGGTGATGCCTGCAGTCCCCTTCTACATGTGCATTTCATCACACATAATGACTCTGCTGTAAGATAATACTGTCCTCAACAGTACTATCTAACAGTGGAGTTAGTTAATTTACTGCACCCCAATACTGATGCACGTGTAGACTGTGATGCTTTATTGAGGAGCTAATTTGTCTACTCTGCTGTAAAGCGCACATGAAGATGCACCCTCTGTGTCCTAGTCTTGCCTGTTCTCTGACCATGGCTCCTTGTTCCAATCCCATTCTTCTCAGACAACTCAGGTTCAGTTTCCATTCCTCAGGTTTCTTGTCCCAAAAATCATAGCCTTGCTCCTTTGGTCTCCCCATCTTTTCAATATTGCCAGTGCCCTCATTTCATTAAAATTAAAAATGTGTTACCTTTCCACACCTTGGCCTTGATTTGTGCTTGTTCACATACTGGGCACATCTACACAAGATGCTACATCACCATAGCTCATTCCTACAGAGTTGTAGCATTGGTGGGCACGAACCATGATGCCGATACTCCTGTGCAGTAGCTCATTGCTATTGTACAGTAGCATGGAAAAAACCCTTGTGGCATCGGGACTGCACAGTGACACAGTCTGCCCAAAAACTTCCTTTCCCAGCTCCATCAGTGTCCTTTTCTAGCCAGTCTTACTTTGTCTTCTCACCCAATATCAATTTTCCCACACATCTACTGCCACCTCCAAACTCTAGCCACCTTCCTTACTAGTGCCCAGTCTCTCCCACAGCTCCTCAACCTTTCCTCCCTTCACCAATTCACTATTCTAATCTACTCCCCCTGCTGTAGCTCCAGCTCTTTTTTTCCTCAGTATTCAAATTGGGCAGCTCCATCTTTCATGGTTCTTTGCACTAAACACTGTGGACAGAGAGAGCACAGGAGAATCAGTCATCTTGCACTCATTTCTGGTGCCTAGTAGGGCAGTGTGAAGCTTCGGGTGGTGATTCGATTCAGAGGAGATTTGGCTTGATTCAGTGGCAGAATCACCAAATCCAAATTGAATCAGGGGACCAATCAAAAGATGCAAAATGATTCAAAGCTCTCCAAATCTTTGAAAAAGATTCAGAGAGCTTCGATGATTCGGACAGTCCCTGGTGGCTGCAGCAGAGAGCTGCAGCTGGACTCAGAGCTGGTAAGTAGAGGGTGGGGAAGGGGGGTTGAGAGAGGGGACCATGGGGGGACCCCTGCCA